CACACACACACACACACACACACACACACACACTGCTCCATTGGGACGGTGCCCTGCTTCCACCCTTCGCCCACGCTCCTCCGGGCCGCCGAGGCTCTGGGGGTTTTTTGGTTTTGTGTTTGGTGGCTCGGGGTGTCAGCCGGGGGTCCGGCGGCTCGGCAGACCCCACCACGCCGATTAATCATCTGTCATCTGCAGTTTTTGTTGATATGGATCTTTGTCTTCGTCCTCAAACGACGCTTGGGTCGGGCCGGCCGGCCTGCTTGCCGCCTGCCGTCCCCCCTTTTCCATTTTTACAACCGAAAAACAACAAAACCAACCGAACTGCCTCTTTCTGTGTCTTTCTTTCTCCAAGTGGAAGGTTTCATGCCGTCATCTGCTGCTCCAAAGAAATGTGTGACCCTCGAGACCTCATATTGACACCTGACTTTTGTAGCATCAAAGATACCGGAGCAGTAACAAAACAATAGGTTACTTTTCTCTTCCTTCCTAATGAGGAAATGTGATGATTTGTCCCTCAACTTTGACACAGTCCTGGAAGTTTTCATAATTTGTCTTATGCTAACTGCTGCTAGCTGCTTTGGGCAGTATTCCACGTTGTAATGCACGTCTTGAGACTCAATAAAAGCATCTTTGTAACATCAAGCCCACTTAGAGTTATCAAATCCTTTCCTTCGGTCTTTGACTAAATTGTGTTGCCTTTATTTTAAACTGTCCATTTGTTCATTTATTATTTCGAAAGGGCCAGAAATGTGAGTTCTAGATGTTTCAAACCTGATCTTACAAATATTAATTTCATCATTTCTTCTTTGTTGCATGCAGCAACCCAATTCCTCCAAATGGATCAATATAGTTTCATCCTTATTTCCCCTTTTATAGACTTTTATTTTGTATTTTTATAGACAAGCGAAAGGTAGTTATTTATGGTTTGGATGCACAAAGTACATTAAATACTTCTCTGAAAAATAAATCCCTGTACTCTAAAACATGACCCCGTCACGCTGACCTTTACACGCTCAGTAACAGTCATCTGAATGTTCTGCTACCGTTGGTGTCATGATAAAGTTGTTTTGTTTATTAAATGGTGGATGACTCATTTTTGAAGGACAAACTGCTCCTGGTTCATCCTGCAGCACAAGTTGGAGTTAAAGTCAATAGTCAGATGATGCAATACTACGAGTGAATATTTGTTAAATGATCCACCGAGGCCTGAAAGTACCTGATAATCTTTTATGAAACTACGTTGTGTTCAACCCGTAGGTGTTGTTTCGTTTGGAGAGGGGAAACTCTCGGGCCGGTTTGTCCGTTTGGATAACACACAAAGCACCATAAATCACTCTGATACGCTCCTGTTTTTAATTCGTAGGTGTCGCTCGCTTCTGATACTGGGGTGAAATACTTGATCAACCTGCACATGATTCAGGGTTGTAGAGGTTTTGGCGATGAACCCTCTAACCAAGCCGTCAATACCAGCATTGCATATTCATGGGAAATGTATTGACTGCTGAGTGTCGGATAATAGACATGCACGTCAATGAACGTTGGGCTGCGGTGAATGGCTTGAACACCATCTCTGGGACCCAGAATATGTCTTCAGTTACTCTCAGAGCTCGTCGACTGATGTCAAACGAGGATAATTAGCTTTCTGAAGGTTTCAAATCAATTTAGCTGTTCATGAAGCCAAAGAAACAACGGACGAAATAAGTCCTGCTGTGTTGAGCCAGAGCATTTCAAACTGACTGGTTAGGCCTCGTCCAACAAACTGCAATTTAAGCACTTTAACTATATTCATCGTTGGGTTGCGGAAGCAAATAATGAAACAAAACTAGTGTAGCTTCACTATAGTATTTTTTGCACTAGGTGGAAAACTGATATATAGAGAATTTTGGGCTTATTCATCAAAAAAGGCATGAAAACAAAGGAAATGTTGGAAAAATATAAAGGTGAAAGCAGGAACAATAATTAGACTACAAACACAAAAATATTGCAGAACTGCAATTAACTACATTTTTTTTTTCAAATTTCAAATCAAAGTTACTTTTACCAGCGAAATGTTTGACATTGCTGCTCTCACAATAATCTCAGATATAAGATTTAACCGGAAGATTTCAATTCAAATGCATTTAATTTGAACTATATTTACTAATCCACACAAAATCCATCTCCAAATCAAGCTGTTCAACCCACAATCAAATTGGGGATAAAACTAACAATTAGTGATTATTTTCTCGATGAATCAACAAATGTTTTGTCTATTAGAAATTAGAAAATCCACAACCAGAGCCTGAGCCAAAGATATGTAATTTACTGCCACAGAAAAAATCAAATCCTCACATTTAAGAAGCTGGAACTAGAGGATGTTTGTCAGGAAGATTGACCGAAATGATTCAACCACTAAAACAGTGGCAGAATTTCCTGAGGACCAACTGATCGATGAATCGACTAATCGTTTTACCTCCCCAGTAAATGAAATGTCCACAATTTGTAAATAAAAGTGGCATCTAATCTTACAAAATGATGAAAGGAACCCAAAGTTTAGGCCTTTTGTTGACTCCTGGTATCAAGCCTCAATCTATTTCCCTCAGAAAACACACTATAGCTACACAGAATCAGCATAATTTAATAAAGCGTACTACCAGAGAAGAAAGCCTTTCACAAATACCATTGACTACCACTAAATAATTGCATTATTTCCCTTTTGAAAAGCTACTTCCATGTTTATCTTATAGAAAGCTAAAGACCGAAAATTGTGAACGTTGATTGTATTTGACTTCTCTGTTTTCCAGGTGTTTGAGCTGTTATTTAAACCTGTTTATCTTCATCACACACAAACACATAAATCCTCTCATACGAAATGATGTAAACACAAAAAAGAAATAATCAGATGGGCAAGTTGAGCACCAGGAGACACAGAATGGCCAATATGAACAGAATTCAAACCCTGAAAAGAAGTGATGTTTCACTTCTTTTCCATCTTTTTGATGCCACTCGATGTGATTTGTACAATGAATTCATTTCATGAAGCTACTTATCATCAAGAAGGTCCAAGTAAAACTAGTTGGTATCCCTCCACTATCTCCCAGTTTATGTGACAAAAGAGCAAACTCACTTTAAAACCTGCGGTGAAGAGAAATCCTCCTTGTCCTCCGTCCAGCGGGCCTCCTCCTCGCTCTCCAGAGAGATGGAGGGATGGGTGGAGAAAGAGAAAGACAACGTGAGGGGGACGATGGAGAGGGATCGGAGACGCTTCTGGAGATGAATGAAGCCCGACGTTTGTCGCTCGGTTCACAAAGTTACCCGCTCTGGATTTCTGGCTCGCCCCCGGAAAGGGTCATCATCACCCGGGGTCTGAGTGGGCTGCCAATGACAAAAAGATAGAGAGAGAGAGAGAGAGAGAGAGAGTGTAGGGGGGGACAATACAATTGTTCCCACCTCACTTTGTTTCCACCCTCACAGTTAAAATTGTTATGGTAATGAAGTAGATTTTTTGCTGGAAAGCAGATTGTAACAGAGAGATGTTTCTTTGACTGGAAGTGGAGGCCGGAGATATTCGAGGAGCTGCTGCTCTGGACACGATGATGACGATGATGATGATGATGTGTAGAAACACTCTAAATACTAGAAGCAGTGAAGGATTGAGATCTTTTACTTTAGTAAAAGTACTAATACCACACTCTGAAAACTACTCCACTACAAGTAAAAGTCCTGCATTCAAGTAAAAGTAGGAAAGTATTGTCAGTTAAATGTACTTCAAGTACTTCAAGTAAAAGTAGGAAAGTATTATCAGTTAAATGTACTTCAAGTACTTCAAGTAAAAGTAGGAAAGTATTATCAGCTAAATGTACTTCAAGTACTTCAAGTAAAAGTAGTGATTGTGCAGTGTCACTGTTTTACTACTGCATTTTACTGCTGTAGATGTTCTTTCTTCATTTATATGTTTCAAAGTTTATTCTACAATAAAGCATCATATTCTACAAGACCACGTGGCGTCGCTGTCCTGTGACAACCACGTATCTCTAAAGAGCTCAGAGAAACAGCCCTGTTTTCAGATTTGTGACGATGCGTTTTCTTTCAGCTGATCCAACAGACTTTTTAAACGGTTTATTTAGCTTCAGGAGAACCTAAAGGAACACTTCATCCTTTCAGTTTGCACACATTCTAAATCAAAACACCTGGAGATACGTGGTTTTCACTGGACAGGAAGGTGATGGAGACTGTAATCTGGAAAGTAACTAAAGCTGACAGACAAATGTAGTGGAGCGAAAATACTCTGAGATGTATAGTAGAGGTATAAAATGCAGTACTTGAAAAAATGTACTTACACCACTGCCAAAATGTTACAGATCCTCCGTTTTTTAAGGTTAAAAGTATATTCCAAAGGACACTTAATTAATTAATGGTTTCTGTTGAACTATCTTAAGTATTTGTGCTTCTTAGTTTGAGGAACATGTATTTTGTTGTGTCTGCGTGCCACCATGAGTGCGAGCTCCTGCAGCTCACTTAACAAGTATTGTGGTGGGTTTATCTGTATAGTTTGTATGTAAATTAACTAGGATAATAACTTACTTCTATAGCAAAACACTGAACTTCTTTCTGGTTGAAATTCTACAATTTAGTCGTCAAGTTTCCATCCTAATCTAGCACACATTTCTGGAGAATCTGCAAAAGAAATGTGAATGAACGTTTGTCTCCATCCACTCCTGTTCTGTGTGAATATGAGTTCATTGGTTGATGGAGATAAACAGAAGCAGCTAATTCTCCAGTCTTCTGCAGAAGAAGAAGAGGATGCAACGAGATGAGGTCAGTAAAAGAGCTCCAGTCAAAGCTCAAACGATGGAAAAATAAAACAGGATGGAAATGTGACATTTCTGTTTGTTTCATGTATTAATGTGAGGGAGGTGACAGTCTCCTCATCGCTCCACTCAGATCTGATGTTTTCAGCTCTTCGTGCTTCATGTACGTCATCATTTATACACTAAGTCTGTTTCCACTTTGGTTTTATCGATACAATAACTTTTACACCTCAAACGAGAGGAAAAAGGGTTTTTTTGTGATATTGAACATCAACATTTCATGTGTGTCTTTGAATCCATGCATGCATAAACATGTGTGTGTGTGTGTGTGTGTGTGTGTGTGTGTGTGTGTGTGTGTGTGTGTGTGTGTGTTGAAGGGGTTGCCAGAGCAAAAAGGGCAACCCCCTTGTCCTCCTCGGGGGCCTGAGTGGGCGGACGGTCCTCGGCAGATGGATTGCTGCTCGCCACTGGTCACTTCATAAACCTGGAACAGATTAATAATATGAATATATAGTGTTTGGTTTATTTCTTTAAACCGGTTGTTTTTTATCAGATTGAAATACAGCATTTTGAAAGTGTTGGTTTAGAGAATTGATATTCCTGAAATGTCTCTTTATGTGTTCATTTGTTCAATTTTGGGTCCTTTGTGTGTTTCTGAATATCAAATGTGAAACAGTTCTTTATTTAATTGAAAATGTCCTTACTTCTCTACTAGACCATATTCTCATAATCTGTCTGAATGCCAATAGCATTAGTTTAGATAAGCAGTCGTAAAAGTAACGTTTAGTTATTTATAGGCCTATTTTACATCTATTCCTTCCATGCTATCGTCTACTTCCTTTCCAATACATTAGTCTGACAGCTTTACTTTAGAAATTGCGATTTTTGCATAAAAACACATGAAGAGTTTATAAAACATGATGTTTTGTTGTAGATTAAACCAACCAACAGTTCACAAGTCGATCTCTCACCGAGTTTGGTATCCCAAGACTAATACAAGTAGAACAACAGCTGAATCGATTGAAGCAATAAAACATTTCAGCTTCACAAATGTGAAGATTTGTTACTTTTCCTTTTAACAATGTTAAAAATCGTTATGTATTCACAATAATGTGGAGGTTTGGACTGTTGGTTGGACAAAACCAACATTGTGAAGGGGTCCCTTTGGGCTCATTTCTCACTATATTCACAATTACATTTTTACAAACCAAACAATCAATCGATTAATTAATGGAGAAAATAATCATTAATCAGCATTAATCAGCAGAAATCTGCAGAATAATGAAATTAATCATAAGTTAATAGTAAAATTCTGCTTTTACAGTAATGCATGAGCAATAATGATATCTATCTATATATATATATATATATATATATATATATATATATATATATATATATATATGTGTGTGTGTGTAATAGTATAACAGTCACAGGGGACATTTCTATACTTTTAATACTATAAATAGCCTACATTTTCCTGTTTATACTTAGCCTACATACTTTTCTAAAATAACATTTTTAATGCAGGACTATTACTTGTAAAGGAGTATTTTTACAGTGTGGTATTAGCATAGACTATATTACTCAGTAAACCTACTTTTACTTCAGTAAAGCATCTGTGCACTGCTCCCACCACTCTGTACAATGTCGCCACCTAGTGGAAGAATTCTGAACTTTATACTAACCTCCCGTGATGCCCCGCGCTGACGCCGTCACATGGGTCCTGTTGGCCAATGGCGGCGTTTGTTTGGCCGTTACTCTCCTCCTATTGGTTCAGCAAAATTTAAAAGTACAGTTTGAAATGTTGAAAACTGAGGTTTTTAAGAGCGCCAGAGAGCTCATCTGTGGACACATACTGTGTTGTCGGAGGAGTCAGAAAAACGCTAAATATATAATTTATAAAATAATTGTATTGGTGGAAACAATAAGCGGACTTTACGTAAAGGGAGAGCGGCACGATACGTGCACGACGTCATTCGGTGAGTTAACGTCCCTTTGGAGTAACGCCGGTTTTAAACTTAAGCTAACTTAAGCTAACTAACATGCTAACTTCCACTTGTTAGCCGACAGCGGTTCTCTCATCACTTTAAATGTTCACCAGCGACCAACCGGCTGCGTTGTGTTATTTGTTTTATGCGCTCATTTTAAAGTGTGTGACTGTACTGTGTTTGTTTGTTTGTTCTGTTTGTCTCTGCCTTGTAAAGCGTCTTTGAGTATCTAGAAAAGCGCTATAGAAAATTGATTTATTATTATTATTATTATTATTATTATTATTATTATTACTTTCAGACTGATTTCTGCGGAGGAGAACGTCTCTCTGCAGCCATGGCTTCACACAACCTGAGCGGCTTGAAACGGGACGAGAAGGGGAGAAACATCCAGGTGGTGGTCAGATGCAGGTATGGACAGAAAAACCAGAGGAAGACCTTCTTCTTCTGTGGTGTTTAACGGCAGCTTGCATCGTTTTCGTTGCATTACTGCCAAAAGGAAGACCTTTCCAGATCTTCTACCTCAGTGAAAGGAGCAACACTACAGTGTGGAAACACTGCTGACGTTACCATTTAAAAGTCCTGCATTCAAAATCTGACTCGAATAAAAGCAACAAAATGTTTTTTAGAGTTTTTGAGGATTCTGGAAATACTTGCAGAACAGCTGTGTTTGTTACTAAACAGCCTTATGTATGGGTTTATGAAAAACAGGATTTGTCTGTCTTTCATTAAAAGCAACTCTGTCCCTTAAACATGAGGCATAAATGATGGCTTCATTATTCCACTATTTAAGGAAAGAATAAAGCTTTAATCCCCAGCTGTTGGGCTGAGATCTTTAAATGTTTAACAGCCAAACGGATGTTAATAGTGTGGCGTAAAAGAACGACGCTTGCTTTCCTCATAGAATCTCAAATCTTATTTGCGATCACGTTTTAATGGTCTCGCAACAGATAAATGGATAATTTCTTGTCTTCTGTTAGAGGAACATTTGTTCCCCACAGCCTGTCCACGCATAAGATCAATTCATGATAAAAACATAGCCACAAGGTACATAAGTCACAAAAACATGAGTCCATACAGTGTTCCTGCTGCAGTCTGTCAAGGGCACGAAGCTCTTACTGTAGCGTGCTTTTTTTTTTTTTTTTTTTTTTTTTTTTAACACATCACAGATCTTTATCTGTAGCCGGATGATGGGAGGCTGGGGTTGCGTGCTAGAGGTCTGCTCTGCATGTGATGGAGGTGTCGATAAGGGCCGAAAGGTTGGGCGTAGGGAGACCAATGATGTTAGAGGCGTTTATGCCTGTTGGTGACGGAGAGCATGGTGAATGTGAATGGATAAGGAAAGAGCTCTATGGTCCTGTACAGGAGGAGGAGCCGAACGTGTGCCTGAGAGGGCCTTGAGGCAGCATCTGTTGGTCTCAGTAGTGTGATGATCAAAGCAGAGTTTATTGTCACGGGTGCTTCCAAAATACGTGGCAGTAGGAGGTACTGGGTTCATTGTAGGGCTTGCTTGAAAGAGGGCAAGAACACCATCCGGTCTGCATCTATTAAAGTCTCCCGTGATTAACAGCTTTTCTACATAACGTACATGTTGTTGTTGTTGTTGTTGTTGTTGTTGTTGTTTGTGGCTGTGGTTGGTACGTTAGCCGAATGACGGCGTCACTAAACCCTTATTCGTAGCTACGATGTCATTCAGAGAAGTCACGTTCGTCTCTGCTGCGTCACGTTTTCAGGCCTTTCAACACGATTGAGCGCAAGTCGTCCTACGGGGTCATGGACTGCGATCCGAGCAGGAAGGAGGTGAGCGTGAAGACGGGAGGGATGAACGACAAGGCGTCACGAAAGACCTACACGTTTGACATGGTGAGTGGATGCAGACACTTCTTAAATGTGTCCAGTGGGGAGTCCTGGATCGGAATGATCAGAATTGAGGCACATTTTAATGGATCTGTATTGGCAGAAAGGAAGCGATCCTAGCAGATAGATGTTTAATCAACATTTTATTTATCTAAAAAGTTGATCTCCATCTCTAGTAGTTACAGACTTAAACCAGTTGATAGCATGGCCCCTCTGTCACACCGTGATTAATGTAAAGAACTTACTTTAGAAGTCCACTGGAGGTTTTTTTAAAAAATTTTAATATAATATTTTCTTTCAACAGGTATTCGGTCAAGCTGCCAAGCAGATTGAAGTGTACAGGAGCGTCGTTTGTCCCATTCTGGATGAAGTCATCATGGGATACAACTGCACTGTTTTTGCGTGAGTTTTAATGCTTTAGTCATTTTCTGTTACCTGTGTTCTCAACTGTACTTAAATAATGCGTTGAATTGCATCGTTTATCAACATGAAGTAAAAACCTGTTGATTTTGTTGTTCAGCTACGGTCAGACGGGAACAGGAAAGACGTTCACCATGGAGGGAGAGAGGAGTCCAGACGAGGAGTTCACCTGGGAGGAGGTGAGAGAAGAGCCGTGAATCTCTGCTGCCTCATCAGAGAGTAACGGAGCTTTAAAGAGCAGGAAACTGAGCTGACTAACTGTTTGGGTTTCTAGGACCCGCTGGCCGGTATCATCCCCAGAACGCTGCACCAGATTTTTGAGAAGCTCTCTGAGAACGGCACCGAGTTCTCTGTTAAAGTCTCTCTGCTGGAGATCTACAACGAGGAGCTGTTCGACCTGCTCAGCCCCAGCGAGGACGTCACCGAGCGGCTGCAGCTGTTCGACGACCCTCGTAACAAGGTAACTCGTGTTGAGTGTCTGCTGTTATGGTGCTGCTGTTGAGTGCTGTGCTCCGTTCTGACGGCCGTGTGGTGTGTTGCAGCGCGGCGTGGTGGTGAAGGGCCTGGAGGAGATCACGGTTCACAACAAAGATGAAGTTTATCAGATCCTGGAGAGAGGATCAGCCAAGAGGAGGACAGCCTCCACGCTCATGAACGCGTACTCCAGGTACTCGCCGAGACTAAACTATATTTCACACTTCCAGATGAGTTCTGTACAACCAGCTGCGACCAACATTTACCTGATCTGTTCACCGTTTACCCTGTTGTATCTCTGCAGCCGCTCCCACTCCGTGTTCTCGGTCACCATTCACATGAAGGAGATCACCATGGATGGAGAGGAGCTGGTGAAGATCGGCAAACTCAACCTGGTAATAATCCTTCATGTTCAATAGGAGAGGTTTTCTACTGGAAGACTTTAAACCGGAAGTAGTTAATGTACTGGTGATACTTTTCTACTGGCTAATACATAAGATATACTTATCTGACAGTACTAGGCTGCACAGAGGTAATTACAATAATACTATGTAAAGTATTTGTTGGTATATTTAAATTAGAAAATTGCAGCAAACAGCCGTCCCGTCTCCTCCCTCTCCAGGTGGATCTCGCCGGCAGTGAGAACATCGGGCGCTCCGGTGCGGTGGACAAGCGAGCTCGCGAGGCGGGAAACATCAACCAGTCTCTGCTGACGCTCGGCCGAGTGATCACCGCTCTGGTGGAGAAACGGCCTCACGTCCCGTACAGGTAGAGTCACGAATCAGTCGTGATATCAAATCTGCAAATGACCGAGCATCGTTTTGTATTCGGGCTTTTGGAAAATGCGCTCTACCAGCAACTCTAAAGTTCACGAATCAAGATGTTGTGTCTATTTTTTTTTTTTTTTTGTTTAATCTAAAGTGTTAAAATGAACAGATGTGGTTTCTGGCTCCCTGCAAAGAAATAGTCCCACACGTAGTCCGCCGTAAAACCATAAATGATCCTGTTTCAAGTTATTTATTGTCATCTGCTCAACAATTAAAGTGAAGCGGTGTCCCTCCAACAAACCTCAAACTAAATGTATAAGAAGGAAAAAACAACTTGAGTAAAGACTGGACATAAAATTGTGCAGAAGTAAAATATAATGTATTAAATACAATATATATTATTAATTCTTTCCACTTTTGTTCTCTGTATTTCTTCTATTTAAAGTACTTAACCAGAGAGGAGTCGTAGATCTGAACTAAAAATCACACTTTGAGATGTTTCTGCTATTTAGCCTACTCATTGACATAAATAGGGTGGGCAAAATAATAGAAACACCTGTCAGTATAATGCAAAACAATTCAACAGACTTCATCTTCCAAAAAAAGCATACATATGAATACACACCTCTCTAAAACCATCTGAACTTTATATCGTTCTTGAAGAAGAATTTGTTGCATTGTTGGACTTCACTAGTTTCAAGTAGTTGTAACTTATAAACTGGCAGCTAGAGTGTAGTATGCAGGTTATTTAACTGTTGTTGTGTGTGACGTGTCTAGCTCCAATTACCAGATGGATAAATAATGTGCACTCTTCCAACAGAGAGTCTAAGCTCACCAGAATCCTGCAGGACTCTCTGGGAGGACGAACAAAAACCTCCATCATCGCCACCGTGTCGCCTTCCTCCAGCAACCTGGAGGTACGTTCTGTTGTCTCTGTGACTGTGTGCTTATGAGATATTACTTCTGTATTTTTAACTCTATTTCGGAGCTCAGGTACACTTTGCATGCTCGTGATGATGCGATATACTTCCTGTCTGTGCAGGAGACTCTGAGCACGCTGGAGTACGCCAGCAGAGCCAAGAACATCATGAACAAGCCTGAGGTCAACCAGAAACTCACCAAGAGGACGCTCATTAAGGTAGAGATGAGTTTGATCTCTTGCTTAGAAAGGACAAATAACGTGCTGCATGTCGGGAGATGTTTTCCTTTCTCCATCTTTAAAGAAGATACTGACTCTCTGTCCACTCAGGAATACACGGAGGAGATCGAGCGTCTGAAGCGCGACCTGGCCGCCACTCGAGACAAGAACGGAGTTTATCTGTCTGCAGAGAACTACGAGTAGGTCGCATGGAAATGATGTAGAATGGAATTCTTCTAATCTTTGCTTGAGAAATTACTTTTCAACAAAAACAGTAGAATACATAAAAGTATGTTCATTCAGAACACTAGGTTTAATAAGATGTAGATTGTGTTCTGCTGTAACAGAAATGAACTGACAGTCTTGTGTGTTTCAGGAGCATGTTGGGTCAGATCACCTCTCATGAGGTGCACACAGTCGAGTACAGCGACAGGATCGCCGCCATGGAGGACGAGATCAAGAAGGTATTTTTTTTCTGAATTGTCTTCTTTTTTTTTTCTGCTGCGATCACTTAAGAATTGCGAGTAGCAACATTTGGTTTCTTGTAACAGAAACTTGTGTTGACTTCACCAGACTTTTACACCAAGATGGAAAAGACTTCCTCCACATATTTATGTTTAATACAGCCGACCTGCAGTTCACATTGCACACATTACTTTCTGTCACTAGAAAGTACATTTTAACTGTGTCATCATGTATTCATCGGAGCTGCCGTCGTGGTTTCTGCCGTCACTCACACTCCGTCTTCTCCGCAGGTCACTGAGCTGTTTGTGGACAGTAAAACCCGACTGGAGCAGTGCACTGTAGTCCTGGATGAGAAGCAGCAGAGGTGAGGGATCATTGTTTCACCTAAACCCGTCTACATTTGAAGTGAGACTGCAGGAGTTTAAAGCAGAGTAAAGTTGTACTCTTTGAAGAATGGATGTTTCTGTGTTGGTTTCAGGTTGGAGGAGACGAGCAGAGACCTGCAGCACACCAAGGAGAAGCTGAGTGAGGAGGAGTTTGTCTGCACGGAGCTCACCTCCGTCCAGGAATCTCTCTATGACACGGCAGGACAGGTGCAGACAAGTTTTACTGATGCTGACACATGACGCTTTCATATACATTACGTTTGAGTGTGTTCTGATGTTTTAATAACTATTTAGATGTTGGCTAGTTCATATTTTTTCTCCTCACTTCCTTCTCTTTCTTTGTTCCTTTTTTCTCTTCGTGTACTTTCCATACTATTAATGATTTTCATATTCTTTTAATGTGGGTAACTTCCTGTCTTAGCTGTTTCTGACCAAACTTCCTTTTTTTTTTTTTCAGAAAAGATTCTAAGTCGCAACAAAAATCGAACCTTTATTAGTCAGTGTGATCAGTACCAATTGATCTGAATATCATCATATTATTGTTAATAGTGAGGCGTGCTCTGAATATCATTTAACATGTTTGTGTGGTGTGTGTGTCGTCCTCCAGCTGCTCAGTACAGTGGACGCCAGCACCGGTGACGTGTCGGGTCTCCACGAAAAGCTGGACAGGAAGAAAAAGGTGACACTTTTCGAACACCACACAAGTGAAAACAATGCATTTATTTATCATTGTATGTCAGATCAACAAAACAAATAATGGCGTGACAAAATTCCTCTACTTTCTTAGCGACCAAAAACCATTTATTGTTGCCATGAGGCTGAAAACAGCTTCCTTTAGTAAAGTTTACCTGACAGAAAAATGTGAAAAATTCCATCAAAGATATTGAATTTTAAACATCAAACTCAGAAAATCTTTACTTTTACAATTTGAGAAACCTTTAGATAATGTAAACCTGCAGATAAATGTATCTGACAAAAAAATAAATGCATGCAAAGTACACAAATATGATCTTTAGTTGACGGATCTGCACCTTTTGGACTTAGCGTTGGTTTCATGAGGACTAACGAACGCACTTGATTGAATTTGCAGGTGGAGCAGCACAACAGTGAGATCCAGCAGAGCTTTTCTCAGCGGATGGAGGGAGCACTCAGCAGCATGCAGCGCTGCGTTCAGCAGCAAGGAGCCCAACACCACAACATGCTGAGCGGCTACTCGCAGGCCATCGGTGAGACCAGATTGCTGCGCGGGATCATTCCAGTGGTGGAATCGTACATATTTAGTGTCTTAAAGGAGGGAATACTCGGTGTAATTTCAGTCAAAAATGGATGTTCAAAGCAGAGTTTTTATGCATTAAAGTATGTTTAGAATAGATCTTTAAAAGGATGTTTTAGACAGAGGGACTGATGTTGTCCTTTTTAACCTTAATGTGATTCTTGGGCAGGAAATTTACTTTTTCTGTCATCCTGGAGGTTCAGTGTGCAATTGCACCAATCAAATCCTATTTCAACAGCATGAGGTCCTATTTCAACAGCATGAAGTTATTGTATAGACATACAAATTGTAAAGTTTGGTTACAGATAGTAAGATAATGGTGTCTAATACCCCAGTTTTGTCCACCCCTGCTTCTCTGTACAGACGGAGTGCTCGTGATGAACGAGGCGGCGCTGAAGGGAGCGCTGACCACCGTGGAGTCCTTCGTGGGTGGAGTCGGCCAGCTGGTGGCCGAGGGCGTGACTCGCTGTCAGGACAGAGTGCAGCAACAGGAGGCGCTGTGTTTACAGGACAAGGAGACGCTGCTGCAGCTGCTGGTGAGGACAAGGACGACCTCCACAGTTAAATAGACAAGATGAGGGTTTTAAATAAGTTTGATTTGTTAATTTGGCCGTTACAAACCTAGTTCAGTTTTCCCCTCATACTTTTATCCTTATCCGGGTGGATAATCATTTTAAACAGCACTTGGATCACTGTGGGGCACATGAATCCTATTTGACTGCTTTCTTTAATGTTTTTGTGTGCAGGACGAGCATCAACAGGACATGGAGGAGGTGCTGGAGGCTCGGACTCTGACGGGTCTATCAGCTGTGAAGGAGCTCAACGACACTCTGAGAGCCACCATGGAGACGCAGCGAGCTCTGGCCGACAAGGTGAGTTCATATCTTCATTTGTACAATCAATGAAAGAAATCACTTGAAATTATACTTGAATTAAGTCCTTTAGAAACATGTTAACTTATGACTTTTTGTGTCCTGCACCTCATCGTTTTCATTGTCTCCCCCTCAGGTGGAGGCGATGAAGGAGGTGGGTGTGTTCTTCAGCGGCTTGGTTCGGGAGCTGGCCGGGCTGCGGGAGGAAGCCGTGCAGAGCCTGAGCTCGCTGCAGGCCGAACATGACAAGCTGGAGGACGAGATCAGACAAGCGCAGGACAGACAGCAGGCGGTAAGAGCCGGTCTGCGAGACACGTTGCACATTCTTCCAGCGGCTACTGACTCAGAGTTTTAAAGTAAACTTTGTCCAAGATGACGATCTTGATTTGAGACCGTCCACACTAAGCTGGTTAAATATATAAGTACATGTTTTTCTCTCGTGTTCAGCTGCCAGTCCAAACTACCACCGTGTATACTTGCACAGCTATTTTTCTACGTTAAAACATCAACGGAAGACAAAAAATTGCTCAAAGTATCATAATCTTTCATTTAACCACAACCTGAGTTTAGGTTTCCACAGTAAGACATTTACAAAGTATGATATTTAATTCCCCTATCTGTCATTTGATGTAAGCAAACCAGAGTCATAACAGATTAGACTTTGTTGATGTTGGGTGGCTTCTTCTTTTTCTTTTTTCTTTTTAGCTCTATTGTCACATTTCTATGTCTATAGATATTGTACATTTTTGAATATGTAAAATGACATCATTCTCGTGCTTCCTGCTGTCAGGGTATGAAGCAGACAATGCAGTTCCTGCAGGACCAGCTCAACCTGCTGTCCCTGGAGGCCCAGAAGGACTACACAGATCTGCGCTGTGCTACCAAAGCGCTGCAGAAACCTCTACAGATCCTCCAGGAGAACATCAGCAGGTGAGTCACGAACGCACGGGAATGTTTTCCTTGCCAAAGTCAGCCTCTAAAATTGTGCCTTCATCCCCTTCTTTCACGTTGTGTCTCCCTGTGTGCAGCGGTTGCAGTACAGTCGAGCGTCGGGTCTCGGCCCAAGCTGATGTCCTCTCCTCCACCTCCTCCTCGCTCGCCTCCTCTCTGCGTCTGAACGCCGACGAAAGCCGGCAGGCGCTGGAGGAGATGACAGGCTGCTGCTCACACCTCCACAGCTCCGTGTCCGGTACGTCATTCCTTCAGTTATCGTTTAAACCCGCCTACAGCACATTCGGTGGGCATTATTGCTGATGCTGTCGATTTGTGACCACAGGTCTGGTCCAACGTGATCTCCAGTGGAGCTCCAGAGCCATGGAGCATGCGGAGACTCAAGCCCAGGAACACCTCTCCATACTGGGGAAGATTTCCACTGAAGCTCAGACTCTCCATCAGGTAAGAATGGCCTCTGACTGCTGCATGTGGGTGTATTTTTAACTTGTTCCACAAAACATCCTTTTGTAAAACCTACTGAAGTTAAATTCTGCAGGTAATCCTGTACCTGTGGGTCTCAAATTATACTGAAGTTTGAGGTTTCACTGCATCACACCAAACACTTCACCCTGCAGATAGAACTGGTCCTAAACTGCCCATAATGCTCCATCTTTTCTGCAGAGCGTCGAGATGCGCTGCACCGAACAGCTCCGGACAACAGAGGAGGAGCTGTCCGGTCGGCAGGAGGAGGTGAAGCGGTCTCTGATGTCCGTGCAGAACCAGACCTCCCTGAACCGGACGGTTGTGGACCAACAGCAGGCCGAGCTCCGGGACAGCGTGGAGACGAGCCAACAGCTGGTCCACGGCTTCCTGCAGGAAGAGCTGCAGCAGGATGTTCCCACCGGTAAATGATTCAACCCGAGTGTCCTTTTCATCTTAATTTTTTGTCTGTGTGTTACCAGTTTAAGAAATTAGTCTTTTTAATCCAAAAATCTGTCCTTTTTGGAGAGAACACACTAAGTCATTTAACCTGTCCAGCGTATAAACCAGTTCTGCTGTTGCCTTCAGGTGCGACCCCTCAGCGGCGGGACTTTGTGTATCCCAAGCGGCTGGAGAAGTTGCGGAGCCGCGGCGAGCTGCTGGAGAGCCTGAGGAGGCAGCAGGAGGCGCTACAGGCCGCCATAGAGGAGGAGGAGAACGAGGAGGAAGAGGACAAAAACAGCCAGGTTGATCACGTACGTTCACTTTCTTGTTGTTGAACGTAGGATGGTTCATCCATTAACAATGTTCACATAACCTTATTTATTCATAATAGGTTGATGTTTATTCATTGAATTCAGTTTAAATGCACTCGGTAATATTGGTTTCACTGAGCTCCACAAATAGGCCACATTTAAAAAAGAAGAAGTTAATTTCTGCTCCATTTTTACCTTTCTCCTCTTGTGTCGTCGTGTCTAGGACTCTCTGGAGGACGAGCTGAGTATTTGTAATGAAAGCTTGGCCACAGAGCCGTCCTTCATCGACGAGAACCTCGTCTTCAACGAGAGCAAACGCGTTCCCTTCTTCAAGGTGATCAGCAAAAATAAACGGGGTTGAAAAATGTCTGAAAGTTTTAAAAATCTCATCATTTGAGATGAATACTGAGCTTCCACGGGAAACGCTCATCAGCACATTTTGACTGTGTATTGCTAACAATGAATCTGTATTCCTGTAATTTCTCTTTCCCAGCAAAAGAAGGGTGGTAAGAAGGAGACAAAGATCCTCGCCAGGCAGAAAGCGTCAGAAAACGAACCCTCAACGCCACAGAAATCCAGACTACCACTCCGCTCTCAGAACTAAAACAGTTTAAATATATTCTTCTCAAACAATGTTGTTACTGTCCAACTCTTGTTTTTAACTTGTTTTGTCTTCTAAATGTTAAGATGCTGCGTAATGAATGTGTCTTGTTTTTAGTAGTGTATGACTCAACGCCTTCAAGTTGTTTGTAAAATTAAAGAGATTTATACTTGTTTCATACTTTGGTGAATGATTGATTCCAGTAGATATAAACTTTCTTTATTCTGAGAGGTGAACAGGATTTAATCTTGTTTGTCCAAATTGAGGAACTAAGACATGACATTTTTTCTTTTTTTGTTAAGAAAAGCAAGAGGATCTGTCCCCAATACCCACAGTTACTTTATTTATATACCGTCTATGATTTACAAGTGGTCAAGTAACATAGTTCCACTATTATAAGCTTCGACTGTGTGGAGGGTTTTTCAGATCCATAAGAAAGCTGGGCAAACTTCACCAATGATGATGATATGACCAGAGACGTATAAAGAGCGAGTCTCGTCAATGGAAGTTTCCAAATGCTGACGAAGCAATTTAGATGCAAAGCTATTAATAGAACTTGTAAAAATTGAGACAGAATTGCGATTTTTGCTAACAAATTAATGAATTCAACTATATTAATTGAGGGACATACGTATTTAGTTTGTGTTTTTTTTTTTTTTTTGTTTTTTTAAAGTAAAATAAATGGATGAGTAAATGTACTTCTAAGGACAATGGGAGTAACCGGTTTTTACTTTCGGTTACTAGAGATGTGCTAGTGGTGTCCGAAAAACTGCCTGCTAGACAACTTCATTCGTCACAATTAATACAAACTGTATAATGTTGACTTCAATATGTATTGCTGTTTCTCATATTTGCATCAACGTCCTTTATATTAGTAACAATTATACAGTGTAGAAATACTCTGAGGAACTTAATATATGAAAATATGTATTCATTTTATTAATAAACATTAGTTTATCTAGATTTGTATTCATCTGCCAAGTAATTAAAGCTTTAAAACAAATGTAGTGCAGTAAAAACTATAATATTTCCCTCTGAAGTGTAGCACAAGTCCCTCAAAATAGTTCTTAGTACATCGGCTACTGCCAGTAGTACCTCTGATTCAGAGATGGGCCAGTCTGCACAATTAGTACTTTTACTTTTGTTACCTAAAGTACATTTTGGTGCAAATAGGCTACTTTGTACTTTTACTAAAGTAACATTTTAAATGCAGGCATTTTAACGTAATTGATTTTTAATCGGGCACACACACGGACACCTATGCGGAGAGGAGCTGGTCCTCGTCGTTTTTTTTCCTTCGTATTTCGAGAAACAAGACAGGAAGGGTGTCGACGCACTGTCGAAGTGTGGCGACCCGAAAAAAGAAAGTCGTTGGTGTTTTTTGGGGGCTGACATGAAGATCGATATTCCTCCAGTTGTGTATTATTGATCCGCTAACGATGGAGAAGCTGACCGGGTTGTGTGTGCTGTTAGTGGCGCTGAGCCTCGCCGTAACCGAAGATAAGTTCTTCACAGAAAACGGTAGTCTCACTCTGGAGGTGAGTGCTTCTAATCCAGAACCCATTAAAAACATCCTGTGGAAATTCGATGGTCATCTGCTGGCTGAGTGGATCAAAGACAAGGTCCCTGTGGAGTTTTACCGCTCGTTTAAAGGCCGCTCAACCCTGAACACACAAAATGGACGGTTGGTCGTCAACAGCATGTCTGGAAATGACACGGGCGTGTATTCAGTGGAGATCAACAGCAACGTCCAGAGCGTGAGCTACACGGCTAAATGGATCAGGATCGTCCCCAAGCCTGAGGCAGTTCTAAAACCATTGACTTGCACATCTTCAAAGGCGTGTTATGTGAGCTGTGATGGAGACACCGAAGACGTGGGACCAGTCACCTACAGCTGGAAGATGGGAGCCAAAGACTGGGAGCTGTTGGGAAAGCGCATTGAAATCACCGACATTAAGAATGCATACGATAAGGACTTCACGTGCCGGATGGCTAACCCACTCAGTGCTAACGTTAGTGAACCCATTACCAATCCGTTCTACCAGGAGCACAAGCCGGATGGTCCGCAATCCGCTCTGTGGATTGTAATCGTTTTGCTGCTGATCATTTTGGCTGGTGTGGGTGTGGGTTTGTGGAAATTTAAGAAATTCCCCTTCCAAAATCGATGCTCCCACAGAACTGATACTGAAGTTCAACCAACAGTTAAACCAACATGTCAGCCTGAGATACTTCCACTTAACCCCGAACAACCTACATGAAGCGTGGAGCTGTTGTCTCACAGAAACAGGATCAACTGTCCTCAGGGTGCTGTTTGCAACAGGAAACATGGACATGTTTGCGTGGTTTTAGCTTCCAGCTGTGTGCATCATCCACTGTTACTTGCATTAGAATTATTCTCATACTTTTTTTGCCTAAACAATAATGTTGATTGGAGAACAGCATGAAAACATGATAATGTGTTTAAGAAAGGAAGATGAATGGATGAAAGAACTCATAAACTGCCTTTCAGTATCAATTCGGCTACATTTCAGCTTGGAATTCGTACTATTCAGACAATCCTACATGATCCAAACAATATACTAATAAGTATAAACTAATCTAACAAAAGTGTGAGATTTAATTACCCATCTCTGAAATAGCTACGCATCTTAATTTTCTTTATTTTTGACAAATGAAAGTCTTTTCTTTGTCTTTTTTAATTTAAAAGAAAAATCGCTTGTATTAATGCACCTTAGGAACGCTGTCACTATTTTGTTTCTGCTTCAATTAGCAGTTTAAGAAGAAGATTGAATGTACATCGTGTAAACATATATTACACATGCTTTTATGATAAAGTGAACAAAAAATGCAGAGTTAATGTCAAAGCATGTATATCTGTGCCATTATCTTCTGGATCAATCTGCTTAAAGTCATTTTATGCACTGTTGTCTGTAATATTGTTTGACTTTTACTATTTTTGTCCATTTAGTTTCGTGTATTTTTGTGTGGTAAGTTTACAAGCCACTATTTTTGTAATATATTGTGGTTAGCATTTTTAAGGTTTGATTTGCTATATGAATTGTTTATATAAAGTGCCCTAGACAATAAATTGTGTGACTCTGCTATACAGACTGTATTTGTCCATATTTTGCATGAGTAGCACGTGAACACAGGAAATAAGTGAGCCCGTAAGTGAACCGGGATCACCCTCTCATCTGCCAACTCATATGAAACCGCTGCATAGTTTTTGATGTCCTACATTGTGCTAAATCCTGATTTAAAGGCCATTGATGTATTCAGATCCTTTACTTAAATAATGGCAGCAGTAATACACAATTAAATACTTCTCTACAAGTAAAAGTCCTGCATTCAAAACATTACTTTCGTAAAAGTATGTAAGTAAATTATTATAAGAAAAAAAAGGTTCGATCCTGATTTAAAGGCCATTGATTGAGAAAGTATTCAGATAATTTTACTTAAATAATAGTAGCAGTAATACACAATGAAAGAGAGACTTAAAATTGAGAAATTTTACATGGCAACATTACTTCTGCTTACAACAAATACCAGTACTTGTTGTATTAAATGTAATTGTAATCGCGCACACACAGGACACCTATGAGAGGAGGAGCTGGTCCTCGTCGTTTGTTTTGAATTTCCAGAAACGAGAGGAAGCGTGTCGACCCGAAAAAGAAGAATTCCTCCAGTTGTGTATTATTGATCCGCTGACGATGGAGAAGCTGGCCGGGTTGTGTGTGCTGTTAGCGGCGCTGAGCCTCGCCGTAACCGAAGATAAGTTCTTCACAGAAAGCGGTAGTCTCACTCTGAACGTGAGTCCTCCTCACCCGGACCCCATTAAACGGCTAAATGGATCAAGAGCGTCCCCCAGCCTGTGGTAGTGATAAACATGGGGACATGGATATTATACAGAGGTGTGTATTGTGAGCTGTGATGGAGACACTACAGAGGCGGAACCAGTCACCTACAGCTGGAAGATAGGAGACCGGGAGCTGTTGGGAAAGGACATTAAAATCACCGTCATTAAGAATAGACGCGATAAGTTCATCACCTGCCGGATGACTAACCCACTCAGTGAGAAAGTTAGTGGAACCATGATCAGTCCGCTCTACCGGGGGGACGAGCCGGTGCCATCCTTTGCGTGGATTATGTGCGGTGTGTTCGTTGTGCTCGTCGCTGTGGCTGCTGGTGTGGATGTGTGTGGCCATGTGTGCATTTAAGATATGCCCCTTCCAAAATTGAGGCCCCCACAGAACTGCTCCTGCATATAAATCAAGAATTCAGCCTGAGGAACTTTCACTTTACGAACTAGAGACTGTATGAAGCGGTGGAGCTGTTGTCTCATAGAAACAGGATCAACTCTGTCCTCAGGGTGCTGTTTGCAACAGGAAACATGGACATGTTTGTGTGGTTTTAGCTTCCAGCTGTGTGCATCATCCACTGTTACTTGCATTAGAAGTATTTTCATACTGCCTAAACAATAATGTTGATTGGAGAATAGCAAATTGTTAAATTGCTTGTTATAATGCATCTCAGGAACGCTGTCACTATTTTTTTATGCTTTAATTAACAGTTGAAGAAGAAGATTGAATGTACATTGTGTAAACATATCATATTACACATGCTTTTATGATAAATAAAGACAACAAGAGTTAATGTCGAAGCATATATGTATGCCATGTCATTGGACTGACATCTTTTTATGCACTGTTTTCTGTAATATTGTTTGGCTTTTACTATTTTTGTCCATTTAGTTTACTGTATTTTTGTTTAAGGTTGGGGAAGAGGATACACTATTTTGATTTGATTTGCTTATGAATTGTTTATATAAAGTGCCTTGACAATAAATTTGTGACTTTGCTATACAGACTGTATTTGTCATTATTTCACATGACACGTGAACACGTGAACGCAGGAAATAAGCGAACCAGGAAGTGAACCGGGGATCACCCTCTCGTCTCGCTCCTCTCTGTGCGTTTTCTTTTGCCGGCTCTGGTTTCGCCTTCTTTGGCACTTGTCCCTTCGTGTTTTCAGACTCTGGGTTTTTTGGATAATGTAGCATTTCAAAATTAAAGCCCTTCAAAATGTCATTCATGAGCTAACTTCAAATCACATTCATAAGACAATTCGTCTAATTTCCGATTAGATGTTAGAGGAAATGGTGCATAGTTACAAAATCATTTATAATTATAATCTGAAAAATAACACAAGTTATCAGATAAATTAGTAAAAACTACAATTGTTGTTAGCATTTTAAAGTTTTGATTCGCATATGAATTGTTTATATAAAGTGCCTCGACAATACATTTGTGACTCTGCTATACAGACTGTATTTGTCATTATTTTACATGAGTAGCACGTGAACGCAGGAAATAAGCGAACCCGGAAGTGAACCGGGGATCACCCTCTCATCTCTCCTCCTCTCTGTGCGGTGATGCTCGTAACGTTAAACTAGAGAGACGCCGCCGCCTGTCCGCCGTACCGGGGATGGATTTAGAAGAAGCTCTTCAAGTTGTCGGTGCGTTTGGACCCTACCAGAAGCGGGCGGTGGCTGTCCTTGTCCTGACACAGGTTAGTGCATTTTTAAAAACAACGTTTTGTACATATGAGAAAACAATAACCGCGGTAAGCTTTCCGGGTTTTCACAGCTAGTAGCGCGACGTGGCTCTCATGCGCTATAACGTTGCTGTGGACCAACACAATAACACGTGTTGGCGGTTAAACATCATAACTTTAGAGCTGTCGACACGTGTTTACAATTTAGCTATAGCTACGAGTGCAGCAACTGCACTCTACAAACCCTGGATACTTACGTTGACACGCACTGCAAATGTCGGAGTTGTTTACATTTGGGCTATTGAAAGGAAATAGCTAGTAGCTACGTCATTCACTCGCCCACGTATTCCAAACTATTTAAGTAAATTCCCCCCCATGGTATGTAATATGTAATGTCACTTATATCAAATTTGATCGCACATATTGGCATCATGCGTCATGATTAAAGTTAGCCGTCCTTCTAGCTAACGCTAGCTAGTTAGCTTGCTCACCAAACGTAAATCCCAGAAGTTTTCACACGATGTGAGTCTGGTATTGATTTAAAGTCAGTCAGCTGATGCAGTAAAGCCTAAAGGAGCTGCCAACTCATATGAAACCGCTGCACAGCTGTTTGATGTCCTAAATTGGTCTAAATCCTGATTAAATGGCCATAGAATGGAGGAAGTATTCAGATCATTTTACTTAAATAATGATAGTAATAATACACAATGAGGCTTTTTAAACAGTTCATTTAGTTTAGGGAGTAGGATCATTTTCTCAACACATTAAGGAACCCAGATCACAGAACGTATATTTTAAACTTTATTTTGATTTTGGAAAATGTTACACCGACATCTGCTGAGACGTGTGTCCATGTTTTTAGACCATGCCAACAGGTGCTGTAGTGGTGATGTTAATGTGACTTCTCGTCTCTCAGGTTAGTACCATAGTGATCTGTTTGTTTCAGGTGTACATGGCCTGTCAGTCCATGCTGATTGTACTGGTTGGATCTACTCCAGAGTACCACATCGAGCCGCAGGACGTGGTCTCATCCAGCCAGCAGGAGCTCCACCAACACGTCGCCTTTACAGAGGACATTGACTCCATCGTGACAGAGGTGAGGGAGCTAGAGTTCATACGCCTCATCGCTTTGGCCCAAGCAAATGCCGCTGATTCAGCATGTGTGCTTCACCAACTTCTCTGTGTTCCCCAGTGGTTTCTTATCAAGCAGCAGGCCTATAAGGTCAGTCTAGCCGGATCGCTGTTTTTCGCCGGGCTTCTGGTCGGGAACATCGTGTTCGGGCCGCTCTCCGACAGGATCGGAAGGAGACCTGTTTACTTGACGGGTGAGGACAATCTCAGACCAGGATCAGACAGATTTTGCGCTGGATTTGAAAATGTAAACATTTAAAAGAAGTAGGTAGAAAAGGTTTCGTCCTATTTTAAGTTTAACAGATTTTAAATGGGAAGTTTCAATGATAACAATTCTGAAATATTTGCCAACAGTGATGGCCTGGAAAAACTGGGAAATGCACTTTTCAATTTTACAGCTGTTAAAAACTACTTACAAATTCAGCGATCAATATATTATTTGTTTTTCACAACCTCTTACATAATATACAACCTTTTATAAAGCATCTTGGATATTGAATTCAGTATTTTTGTTGTTATTATAATTCAATTTTTCCATGATTACTTGGATGTACTCAGTCACAGAGAGATACAGAATCGGGGATACATATTTTGAATTTAGGGGGGGAAAAAGATAGTGGTTTCAGATCGGTACTCTGTACCAGCAGGTACTCGCTGTGAGGTATCGTGAGAGATAAAGTTGGCTTGGTGCATCCCTAATTATGGCATTATACATTTGCTGTGGAGAACATGTTAGGACACATTTCTTTTCATCAGATAATTACTGCTGGGCAGAAAGTGTTAGTTTACACTGGGATTATCAGAACCTGCAAAGAGAAAGAGAGAGATTTGAATGTTTCAGGTGCGTTTACGCTGCATGCAGACATAAAAACAATACATCCACGAAGATACAACTCTACGCTGCCCCTCCTCCTCATCTGTTTCTCTGTCTCCCAGGTCTGTTTTTTGAGGTGATCTTCGGGTATGTGACCGCCTTCGCACCCAGCTATGAGGTCTTCGCCGTGTCTCGTCTCCTCGTGGGGCTGATGAACGGCGGCATCGGCCTCGTCGGCTTCGTTCTCACTCAGGAGTACGTGGGCAGGTCCTACTGGGCCATGACCGGTACGGAAACACCAGAACAATCCCATCATACATCACTCTATATGATATGTTGGTTTGTACCTGCTGCCAAATTAGTTGATCTTTTGTTTTGGATATTTTTCAAGTAAAATTCTGAATTTTCAGGGACCAAACCTGTGTTTCTTTCTTTCCATTACAAGGTGGTCACTTTAGCCTCTAAATGACCCTGCAGTTCCTAAGCTGTTGAATCGATTTTTTTAAATTTTATTTCCATCTTCAGGGACGTTGACAAGCATAAGTTTTGCAGTCGGCATCGCACTGTTTGCAGCTCTGGGCTACTTTATCCGGCCGTGGAGGACTCTGGCCATCGTGGCCAACTCGTCTGGTGTCCTGTTCTTCCTGATGTCTGTGTGAGTACGAACCTCAGAGATGAGATGAGTCCACACATAAAACCAGAACAATTAGAAGCCTTTCCTCTGAGGAGAGGATTCTAAAACACACACATGGATTGAATAGATATCGTGTAAGATTGGATCAGCACCAGTTTCAAGGCAATACAGGAATGTTAAGAATGTAAATAAAATGCAACTAAAGCAGAATACATTCAATTTGTCAAACTAACTAATTTTTTTTGTGTGCATCTTTTAGCCTATTCTTTTTTTTTTTTTTACAAATCACAATATAGTCACTAAATTAAGATATAAAGAATGCATGTTTTGTAGCTCATGAGATAAAAACATAAACACACTTGTGTAATTTGCTCCAGTGCATTTTAGCATTCAGAAGAAGTTAAAACCTGAAGAGTAATCTATTTGTTAGCGTCGTAGTAACATTATGAGTACTGGCCGAATATAAGACGACCTCCGCGTTTTTTAACACGTGTTTTTGGAAAAGGAATCTGTTGTTTTGAATATGTAAATATGATAAAGCCTCCGCTCTTTTAAACGCTATATCCAGAAAATCATATTTGTGCCAAAACAATGATCTCTCCTTACCTCCTTTCCTCCAGAACTCTTCCAGAGTCTCCTCGCTGGCTGTATTCTCAGGGTGAGACGGAGCAAGCTGAAGAGGTAAAATACATTTATACAATCGCAATGTCTGGGTATAGTTAAGTGCTGAGGCTTGTCGTAGATTTAAGCCCTAAGATTTAGAGAACACATATTGGGGTCACTTCTTTTCATTGAAAACATTATGAGCTCTAGAAAAGATCGGAATTAGAAGTGGCTGAGAGATCTGACAGGATTTACAGCAGCTTACATCATCATGCAATGACAACGTGAAACTCGTGAATTGTGCATGATCTTTGAAACGTCGTTCCTGACTGTTCATCTCGTCTTTACAGGTTCTGCGCTACATGGCGCTGAGGAACGGCAACGCTGTCAAACACCTGACACTGAAGCGTGTCGGTGCTGCTAAAGCCGGTAATCGCAGCGGGCGTGCGGGTGTCCTGCAGCTGGTGCTCCATCCAGTCCTCCGTCTGAGGACGATGGTGCTCATGTATGTCTGGTGAGTGTAGCACCACAGAAGAAGAACAAAACGAGCCCAATGCTGTTAAAACTTGACTTATGCTGCTGGTTCAATTCCTGCTCCTACCACAGACTCAGATGCTGCTTCTTTCTGTCCATACAAGCATAAAAGATATGAGTTTTCTGTAGTTTAGTGTCTCAACAGCTGTTGGATGGATTGCCATGGCATTTTGGTCCAGACGTTCAGAATTTGTTTTGTGATAAATTGAATTCCAAAAATGTTGCACATTCCATCCGGTCTGTCTGAGGTTAACACGCCGCTGATATCAACTGTAGGAATAAGCAGAATGTTTGCTTCTATGATGATGAAATATTTAAGTAGTCTGGGAATGCATCATGATGTAAAACCACTGTGGTTTGTAACATAACTACTGTGGTTTCTTCTGTAGTGATTAGAAATAAAGCTACTGTGAGGAGCAACTGACATGTTTACCACTTAAAGGATTATGTTGTGTATACTACTGCACACACACATCTACATGTTCACAACTTAAAACCTTTTCACCCTCTGGCCTGTTTCTGAACTTACTTTATCCCGGCTGCTAAATAATCAAACATACTTTTAACAGTTTGGCTTTCCGTTCACTCTGCATTATAGACGTGAAAAACTGCTTCTTTTTTTAGAGTAGATCAGGTTAGTCTGGTTGTACTCTAGATAATATATATAGTTCTCTGTTGCACAGTTAACAGTAAACAAGCTGCTCTGCAGGAACTGATGGTGCAAGATGTGAAACACAAAACAATAGAAATGTCAAGGAGCGGCTGAGTAGGCTGAAGATCTAACTTATAACCGAAAACGGATGCAGCTTTTAGTCACATTTTAAAGTGTGTGTGTGTGTGTGTGTGTGTGTGTGTGTGTGTGTGTGTGTGTG